CTTTGGTCTGACCCAGGACGGCCATTGTAAGCTCAGGGCTCAGGGTCGGGGGTCTCAGTGGACCCCCTTGATTCTCTTGCACACCTGCTCCTGGGTTGCCAGGCTGGCAGCTCTCCTGCCCTAGCTAGCCACTTTCCTGTGCCTAGTGCGGAGATCGTGGACAAGGTCCACGATGTCTGCACTAGACCAGACAGGTGCCTGCCTCTTGCGGTCCCGGGCAATAAGAGATCCTCCGGAAAAGAACTTATTTTCCGGAGCATCGCGTCCAGACTGGCGCTTTTCTCCAGCTTATCTACAAGCCGGAAAAAAGCGGCAGCCATGAAAATCCAAATCCCACGGGGGATATTTAAATCCCCCGCGGATTTGCCTATTCCCAAGTGCTACATTAGCATTCCTATTACGGAATAGGGGCCAATGTAGACACAGCCCTAGGGATGGAGATTCCACCACCTCCCTAAGTAACTCATTCCAGTGCTTCACCACCCTCCTAGTGAAATAGTTTTTCCTAATATCCAACCTACACCTGCCCCACTGCAACTTGAGACCATAGCTTCTCATTCTGTCATCTGTGATCACTGAGAACAGCCTCAGTCTCCATCCTCTTTGGAACCCCAATTCAGGTAGTTAAAGGCTGCTATCAAATCCCCCCTCACTCTTCTCCTCTGTAAACTAAATAAGCCCAGTTCCCTCAGCCTCTCCTCATAAGTCATGTGCTTCACCCCTTATATTTTTGGTGCCCTCTGCTGGATTCTAATGCATCCACATCCTTTCTGTAATGCGGGGTCCAAAATTGGACACAATATTCCAGAGTGATGAATAAAGGGGGATAATCACTTCTCTAGATCTGCTGGCAATGCTTCTCCTAATGCACCCCAATATGCCATTAGCCTTCTTAGCTGCAGGGGCATGCTGTTGATTTATATACAGCTTCTCATCTACTATAATACCCAGGTCTTTTTCCGCTGAACTGCTGCCTAGCCTGTAACAGCACTTACGATTCTTCTGTCCCAAGTGCAAGACTTTGCACTTGTCCCTGCTGTACTTCATCAGATTTCCTTTAGCCCAATCTTCCAATGTGTCCAAGTTACTCTGGACCTACTGCCTTTTATTCTACAGTTAAGCTATTTTTAATATATAGCTGAGTGTGACTATGTGGAAGTAATTTGCAAAAGGGGTTTGCTGAAATTATAAAACTTGAGAGGAAAGGTTGAATGGCTTATTAAAGTCAACAGGGATTTCAAACTGAGCTCAGATAACAGTTAAGTTTCTAATTCATGAGTAGGGCCCTATCAAATTCACAGCCATGAAAAACACATCACAGATAATGAAATCTGGCCTTTTGTGTGCTTTTAGCTATACAGATTTCATGATGATGGGGGAGACGAGTGATTATCAACATGGGGTTCCTGACCTAAAAGGGAGTTTGTAGGGAGGGTTGCAAAGTTATTTAAGGATGAGTTATGTTATTGCCAAAGGGTATGCCTATACTACAAAGTTAATTCGAACTAACAACCGTTAGTTCGAATTAACTTTCATAGCGTCTATACATGCAAACCGCTAGTTTGAACTTAAATCGAACTAGCGGAGCGCTTAATTTTGAACTAGATAAACCTCATTCTACGAGGAGTAATGCCTAGTTTGAATTAAGTACAGGCAGTCCCCGAGTTACGCGGATCCGACTTATGTCGGATCCGCAGTTACGAAACAAACCGCTAGTTTGAACTTAAATCGAACTAGCGGAGCGCTTAATTTTGAACTAGATAAACCTCATTCTACGAGGAGTAATGCCTAGTTTGAATTAAGTACAGGCAGTCCCCGAGTTACGCGGATCCGACTTATGTCGGATCCGCAGTTACGAACGGGGCCGTTCCTCTCCCTGGTCTCGAGCAGACCAGGGAGAGGAAGCAAAGCGGCGGCTGAACTGGGCAGCGGACAGGGCTGTCCGCTGCCCACGCGCTCCGAGGCTTGGCTCTGTTTTCCCCCCCACC